AACAATCTTCTCTGAGTTCTTCCAGTGTATATTTGCCCATTTCCTAGACTACATCTTCTCTTCATTATTTAATGGCACTTCCCAGAGAGCAGGGGGTGCCTTGTTCTCTCCGTATTTGCCCACTATTGTGGTAGCCAATAAACAGCATCTCAAAAGATATTTATCCAATCATGGAATTGGACACTATGGATTACAGTGACAGAAATGTATGAGCTGGGGGTCCAGAATGCCTTTATTTATTTATTTTTTAATGTTTGTTTATTTTATTTTATTTAAATTTTTTAATGTTTATTTCTGAGAGAGGGAGAGAGACAGCGTGAGCAGGGGAGGGTCAGAGAGAGAGGGAGACACAGAATCTGAAGCAGGCCCCAGGCTCTGAGCTAGCTGTCAGCACAGAGCCCGATGCGGGGCTCGAACCCACGAACCGTGAGATATGACCTGAGCCGAAGTTGGACGCTTAACCGACTGAGCCACACACGCGCCCCATATGCTTGTTTATTTTTGAGAGAGAGAGAGACAAAGACAGCGAGGGGCAGAGAGAGAGAAAGACACAGAATCCAAAGCAGGCTTCAGGCTCTGAGCTGTCAGCACAGAGCCCGATGCAGGTCTCGAATCCCCGGACTGGGAGATCATGACCCGAGCCAAAGTCAGATGCTCAGCTGAGTCACCCAGGCGCCCCTCAGAATGCCTTTAAATTAGGAAAACATTTTGTCACATTTCTCCCATTTATATCGGATTGAAATCTGCCTATAAATAATAAAGAAGGAAACAGCATAGTTTATAGTACCTAAGAAGGATTCTGGAGCTTTGTTTGAGTTGGAAACCTGCCTTCCTTTTGATTGCTATGTAACCTCAGCAAGATATTTTTCTTCTCTAGATTTCAGCTTTCCTGATTGTTAAGCAGCGATAACAACTTGTATTTTAGTGAACATGAAATGCACTGTTATTTTATACACTACTAAGAAAGAAAAACTGCTATCAACTAAACAATGATACCATGCTTTCTGTGGCTTAGAGTTTGTATTTTATATGTATTAAAATAGTTCTTCTAGATGTATTTAGGCTTTTGAAAAGTCACATATCACTCTTTCAAAAGGAAAATTAATCACTTAAGGTTTTCCAAAAATGTCTTCATATTCAGGGTCTGAGGGTTCTGAAACACATTTCATTTTTTTAATGTTTTATTTATTTCTGAGAGAGAGAGAGAGAGAGAGAGACAATGTGAGCAGGGGAGGGTCAGAGAGAGAAGGAGACACAGAATCCAAAGCAGGCTCCAGGCTCTGAGCTGTCAGCACAGAGCCTCACGAGGGGCTTGAACCCAAGAACCCTGAGAACATGACCTGAGCCGAAGTTGGACGCTTAACCGACTAAACCATTCAGGCGCCCCTGAAACACATTTCAGTTCCATGTGGTCAGAGCTCAGGTGTTTTTTGTTTTTTGTTTTTTCTTCCATGTTATCATCCTCTGCAGCAGTGAACCTATTGGGGATGCAAGTCTTTTTCCTCTAAGAATGAACTATTATTTTCTATAGGGCTCTGTAGGTTTCTGCCAAGCTGTAACACCTTTCTTCAAGTTTTAAATGATGGTGCTTTCCCGATCTTACAAACCCATTCCAAGAGATGGCAATAACCAGGTTTCACGTGGTCCTTAAAATGGTTTGTACTTTGAAACGTGGGGGGACTGCAGACGGTCCGCGAGGCCACCAAGAAGGACAGTCCCCGCATAGGAGCTTCATCCAGACCACCTCCTGCCTGATAGCAACTGTAAGACACATCGCCACTTCAGAGATGTTAACACGTGAAAACCATAGGGTTCATTTCAGGCCTGGCTTCCCTCCTAGGGGTGTGGTGAGAGTTGGAGGAGAAGAGGATTGTGGCTGTGATTGCGGAAACATCACGGAGCTGTCTGATAGCAATAACTATTATTTATGGAGTGCTCATTAATGTGATATGCTTCTTAATGTATAGTGTTAAGTTTCATATTAAAATTTCCCCCTTTTTATTGAGGTCTGATGTATATTCAGTGAAATGCACAGATCTTCAGTACCCACTTATGTGAATTTTGACCCCTGTCATCTGCAGCCCTATCAAGATATTTTTATCCCTCCAGAAACACCATCCTTGGGCCCCTTCCCCAGATGGCCTCTGTTCTCATATCTTTCACCATGGATCTGTTTTGCCTGTGCTAGAACTTAATGGAATCGTGTGGCATGTGGTCTTTTGCATTTTTTTTTTCTTTGTTCGTGTGTGGGATTCCCAAGTCACTGTGTGTATGAGACCCTTGGGCCTTTTCGTTGCTGAGTAGCACAATATTCCATTGGGTAGATGTGCCCCTGTGTCTGCCTTTCTCCCCTTGATGGACATTTAGTTTGTTTCGTTTGGGCTATCACTTGTAAAGCCACGATGAACTTTTGAGGACAACTGTTTTTGATTACATGTTTTCGTTTCTCCTGGATAAATACCTGGAAGTAGAATTTTTGGGTCCAAAGGTGATTGTGCCATTGACAACGCCCATTATGCACAGGAGTCCATATCCTTGAGCTTTGGTGTCTTTCATTTGCGCCATTTGAATGGTTTTGTAATGGAATCTCAGTGGCTTGAATTTGTATTTTTCTGGTGACTAACAGCCACCATCATGTTTTCATAGGACCACCAGCCATCTGCACATCTCACCCTGTAAAGTCAGTTGCCTGGTTTTCCATGGGGTCATTTGTGTTTTACCGAGTTGTAGGATTCCACTCCTTTGTCAGATCAACATGTTGCAAATATAGTCTCCCCGTCTGTGGCTTGCCTATTCATTTTCTTAGTGGTATTTTTTATGAGTAAAGGTTTTTTTCATTGTGATGAAGTCTACTATCTATTTTTTTTATAGGTAGTATTTTCTGGGTCCTAACCAAAGTTTTGCTTATTCCAAGGTCAGAAAGGTATTCTGTATTTTCTTTTTAGAAGCTTTATGGGTTTTGCTGCTACAGGTAGGTCTGTGATCTGTCTCTAATGAAATTTTGTGTATGGTTTGAACTGTGATTCAAGGTTCTTATGTCTCCATCTTGCTAGCTAGCTGTTCTATGGCCATTCTTTGAAAATACAGTTGACCCTTGAACCATGTGGCGATTAGAGGTGTTGGCCTCCCACATAGTCAGAGTATAACTTTTGATTCACCCAAAATGTAACTGCTGGTAGCATCCTGTTGAGCCTTACCAATAACATAAACAGTTGATTGACACGTATTTTGTATGTGATAGGTTTTACATAGTGTATTCTTACAATCTTATTTATTTTTGAGAGAAAGAGAGAGAGAGAGATGGAGCATGAGCTGGGGAGGGGCAGAGAGAGAGGGAGACACAGAATCTGAAGCAGGCTCTAGGCTCCCAGCTGTCAGCACAGAGCCTGACGTGAGGCTCGAACCCACGAGTTGTGAGATCATGCCCCAAGAAAAGAAAATGTTATTAAGAAAATCACAGAAAGAGAAAACATATTTGCAGTGAAATACTGTATTTATAAAAAAAAATCCATGTGTACATGGATCTACATAGTTCAAACCTGTGTTGTTCAAGGGTCCATTGTACTGTCTCTTCCTCACTGACTTACTCTAGTACTTTGGTTGGAAGTCAATTGACTGTGCAAGTGGGTCTACTTCTGGACTGTCTATTCTATTCCATTGATCTGTTTGTCTATTTATCTATATGCCAATGCCATACTGTCTTGATCTGTAGCTTCAGCATTATTTTGAAATCAAGTAATATATCTCCTCTTCATTCTACTTTAAAGATTTTTTTTTTGGCTGATCCTTTGCATTTTCCTTTATATTTTAGAATACACTTGTCAGTTTCTACAAAAGACTATTATGAGATTTTGATTGGAATCGTATCAAATGAATAGATAATTTGAGAAAAATAGAAATGTTAAAAACACTTAGTTTTCCAATAGATGTATAGATAGTATTCTGTCTTTCTGATTCCTTCAAGTCCTCTTTCATTATTCTCTCAGGAGTTTAAAAATGGTTTTCTGTGTGGAGGTCTTCCACACATTTCTTTAAATGTATCTGTAAGTATTTTGAGTTTTAAAATATCTTGTAAATGGCTTTCTAAGAAAACTCATATTCCACTTGCTGTTGATATTTATAAATGCAATTGATTTTGTATATTGCCCTTGTATCCCGAAATCTTGCTAAATTCAATGTGTGATATATTTTACTTAGTGCTTTACAAAATTCCATGTTTATTCTTGAAGCCGCCTGTGAAGCAGGTGTTAGCACAGTCAGATTTTGTAAGAAGTTTGCCCTGAAATTTCACATGCCTCTTTCTTTGCTCAAGGTCAGCAGGTTGGGTAACAGGAGGACCAGGATTTGAATTGAGGTCCAGTCTGACTCCAATGGCTTGCCCCTTTCCGATCTCCTATAATATGTTACCTCTTCGACATTTGGATATTTTATTTATCTTTTTAAATTTTTTAATGTTTTATTTATTTTTGAGAGAGAGAGAGACAGTGAGCAGGGGAGGGTCAGAGAGAGGGAGATACAGAATTCGAAGATAGGCTCCAGACTCTGAGCTAGCTGTCAACACAGAGCCCAATGTGGGGCTCGAACCCACGAACTGTGAGATCGTGACCTGAGCCGAAGTCGGATGCTCAACTGGCTGAGCCACCCAGGCACCCTGACATTTGGATATTTGAATGGAGTGATAGCATGTGGTTTCCCTGGATTTCACTCGGACAGTTTTGCGTCACTGTGTTTCACAGGGATGCGAATTGGCCAATGGGAACTTTACGGCAGACTTAATGAAAATAAGGCGATAAAGAGATTGGGGGTTTTCCAAGTCAAAGAAGGATAGTCAGTATTTCCCAGACTCCTCCACAGAAGACCATTCACGCAGTCGGACGCAGTTGTGTAGCTCAACCCTCTTTCTCCGTAGTGTTGGTGCGCATTAGTGGTTGCTAAATCGTCCACGTGTGGGGATGCTGTAAAACTTGTTTCCCCTCCTTCTCTCTTGCCATGTGCTGCAGGAAACCATTTCTGTACAGCCAAGGAGCTCACAGAGGAGATGCGATCATTAGCATCAGAGAAGGAAGGGCTGGAGGGACTCCTGGACAAAATGCTGGTGCTGGGTGCCAGGAACATCCAGAAGCTGGGAAGTATGAAGGAAGATTACAGCAGACTGAGAAAGGAGCTGGACCAGGGTGAATCCGCCTATGGTAAGTAGTCACTGTTGCCTGGAGAAGTATCTATGGTGCCGATTGTCTTGTGTGCCTCATGTGAGCGTCCCTGTGAAAGGAGGTCCTGGAGCACACAACGCTTTTCCGGAGGATTTATTTGGCAGGAGCCTTGGCAAATGGGGTAGAAGTACTTCTCAGCTTTTGTTTTGCTATTAGCATGTGATGTCTTTTCTTCTTCTGTTTTTTCTCCCCCCTCCTCTACCCTGGATTTGCTAATGGCCTTGTGATTATTTAGAGCAATCCCTCCCTTAGCACCAGTCTTGAGAATTTCCTCTGCTTGACAGTTATGTTCCTTTTGTTCCTTGGCTCAGTCTTGTGGCTTGCACAATCAGAGACGAAAGCAGGGTGACTCAGAAAACTGAATAAAGACCCTGAAGTGGCTCTTCTATGTGTGAGGCTTTCTGAGAGCTTTTTTCCCCAGGAAGAACAGTGTAGAATAGGCCAGTGCTGCCCAAGCTGAAGTATCTGCCTGTTGGACGAGTAACTGTGTTCTTTTCTTGTGCTCTTTTCCTGTTCCCGTTGTTAAGAGCAACTGAGGTCCCCTTGAGGTTTGTTCCCTGAGGGATGATCTCAGAAGCTGCCGGTTCAGTCCGAATTGATAAAGTGAAAACTTACTTCTTTAAAAAAAAAAATGTAAAGAATTTACAGTGATTCTGTTTCAAATATGAAGAATGAAACCATGGAAAATAAATTCGGATTTAAAATATATTAGATGCTAGAACTTGGTTTTTCATTGGTGGAATGAGGAGAATAATATCTAGTTCATAGGATGATTAAGTGGTACAAATTAAATGAGGGAACTTATAAAATTTTGAGGTGTGTGTGTGTATGTGTGTGTGTGTGTGCACGTGTGCGCTCTTGCATTTCTTCTAGGAAGTAAAAGTTGCTGGAGGCCAGAGGTCATATGTAGTATATCATGGTCCCTAAACAAATATTGTTTACTAGAAAACTGAAAGACCTATGTACTAATCAATAGCTGTATTTACAAAGCATGCTTATTTAAAAAGAAATAAGAGAAGAATGGGGATTTTAGGTAGCCACGTTTGAAAATATGGCTCTTTGAAAATACTCCACAGACTGAATTAAATGAAGATGTCTACTTAAGACCAAATAAAATAAATAAATGTTAAGAAAATATTTGTAAAAAAGCCCAAAGAAATAGAAAAGTAGTTAGCAGAAAAATAAATTTTGTTTTAACGGCTTAGTCAATTGTAGAAAGAGGTTTTGATACAGCGTTTTGAATCACAGATAGGATGTTCCTTGTGATGGTGTCCTAGCGATGGACAGGCCTAATGTGGCTGAGTGACTGAGGGCTTCGTGTCTTTCCCCTCCCCCCACTTTTGTAGGTCAAGCCTTCTTTTGTGCCAAATATGTGGAGACAATGCATTTGAGTCTTAGAATAGAATGAGAGTACTGAGAGATGATAACACTTTTTCCAAAGTCGTGATGATGTGCTGTACAAAGTCATGACTTGAATGATCATTGGATATTTTATTTTTTATTTATTTATCTTTTAATTTAAAAAAATTTTTTTTTAAATTTATTTCTTAGAGAGAGAGAGAGACAGCTTGAGCAGGGGAGGGTCAGAGAGAGAGGGAGACACAGAATCCGAAGCAGGCTCCATGCTCTGAGCTAGCTGTCAGCACAGAGCCCGACATGGGGCTCAAACCCATGAACCCATGACCTGAGCCGAAGTCGGACGCTTAACCGACTGAGCCACCCAGGTGACCCGATCATTGGATATTTTAAATGAATTTTTGCTGTAGACTTTTTAAGTGTATAAACAGTAAAAGCTCTGAAATTTCTGATGTTGTGACTCCAGAATTTTTGGCACAAAACGGGGAATCTATTGTATCTCAGGATGAAGACGCAAACACATTTGGAAAGATTTAGTCCATCGATATTTTCATTTGGACACTTGAGCTTTTGAAAGCCATTCATATCTCTTCAAAAGAAAAAAGAGCCATGTGGTATATTTTGAGTCTCATCCTTGTGACTTTACTAAGTATTTTCAAAATGAAGAATAAAACATAAACAAATGGAATGAGAGAGTGTTACCATCATTGCTGATTTCTAAATTGCAAACGGCTTGTTACTGTTGTGAACGTGTTCTTTATGTTTTAAACTTGGACTTTGCTGGATCAGCTACCCTTTTCCTGTGCTTTAGGCTGAAGCTAATTTTTAACCAAACTGAGGTGAACTGGCATCGGGTCAACCCAATTAATAATCTTGGGTTAATGAGAGTAATTGGAGACAGATACATAAATAAATAATAAATTCCATAGCAGATTGAAGCTTTCATCCATCGAAATGCAATAAAACGAGGCCAAAGTCCACGTTCTGTCTTTTGTTGGCTTTTGAGAGATAAAAATTTAGAGGGAGCTCTAAATGTAGAGCTTTAAATATGGAGCAAATACAAAGGACTAGTATGCAGTTGTGGGTATATACCATGAGCTGACTTTTTTATCCTTAGATGAAATATTTTACAATAAGACTATTTAAGAAATGGGCACTATGTAGGATTCTTAAAGCAGATTTTGATTTCTAGCTCTGGCTGCAGAACAGCTGCACCCAGGAAAAAAGCAATTTGGGAACGGATGAGCAACTCCATGATGGTCAGGGCCCCGGGCTCTTCTGTTCATCTGTACCCTGGGATGTTCGGTCTAAGATGGCTGACATAGTCATGCACATGTCCAAGTCCAGCCAGGGGTTCTGTTTCTATAGCAGATGGAGAGTTTTGTGGGGTGTTTTTTTTTTTTTTTTTTTTTGCTTCCTTTTGTTTTTAGAGAGACAGAATGCAAGCAGGGGAGGGGCAGAGGGAGAGGGAGAGAGAACATCTCAAGCAGGCTCCGTGCCCAGAGCAGAGCCCAACGTGGGACTGGATTTCATGACCTGAACCAAAATCAAGAGTTGGATGCTTAACTGACTAAGCCACCCAGGCACCTGAGATTTGCAGTTTTAGGGAACAATTAGTAGTGTGTCTCGTATAGAGAACTCTTCCTGATGGAAAGTGCTTTGCTGATCAATATGATTATATCTATGTCTCTGCCTAGACTGAGATCAAAGAAAAGCACTGTCGTTAGTTTCATTTGTATTGTCTCAGTATCCAGCCAGCATGGTGTCTTTGAAAATAGTAAATGTGCCGTAAATTTCTGTTCATTTACGGGGGCCAGATGTTAAAATGAAACGTTCCTTTATTTCTATATTATTCCTTCACTCCTTTTCTTTGAATTATAGACCCAGACCTTGGATCTTCTTCTTTTTTTTTTAATTCTTAAAATTCATTCTAATTTAGTGAGAACAGAGGTAAGTTTATCTTTCATGGAAGATGGCTTGCTTCGTCTGAGTGGGATTTTCAGATGGGGGTGTTGGGAAGACAGAACAGAATGATGAAAAAGTACTGAAATGTGCTAGAGTCCTCAAGGGCAAAGAGAGACAGAAGTCATCACTGATTCCATTGACTTTGTCACAGTGACACAGAGTCTCTGTGAAGAGGCGGGAAGGCTGTGTGTCTTCACCTCTATCAGCTGTTCTTAAGACTTGCGGAGAACACGTTTGAATTCCCAGCAACTTTAAGTACAGTGAAATAGAATGGAAGGCTATATCTATCTTTCAGCCCCTGAATACTTATGGAGATTAGCTGTAAACCTTTAATTATTGTGCATTTTAATGTTTTCTTTTTTTAAGGAGGGTGGGATAAAAAAATCAGTAACTTTTTTAGTTGGCTACACCTGCTTTTCAGAAAAAAGACAATGCTGAGATTTATCTAACTTTTTCCATCCCTTGCGTAAAAGTTGGTAATCTGTATTGTACTTTATTAATATTGTTGATTTCACACTATAACTCAGATATAAAGGAAGCAGACGTCAAGGGGAGAGATTTAATCACAGAATAATCAGGCCTAGAATTTTAAATAGGACATCATTAGCATGTTAATGAATTTCCCCACTTTACGCCAGCTGCCTCAATGGAAAAGATGTAGCTCAAAAGTCTGGCAGGATCTGTGGCCCACCAAGCTGTCAGGAATTCGCGTAGAGGGTCCGTAAAGTACGTAAAGGGGGGGTTCTCTGTGTGAGTCTCAAATGGCAGGATTTCATTTTTACTGGCAGTGATGGCTGGGCTGGGTTCCGCTGTAACTCATTTGCCTTTCAGTGCGTAAGAACAAGTGGAGGGCAAAGGAGCCGTTTTTAAGTGTAATGAAGTTGGAGTGGAGTCAGTTTTTTATTTACGGTTTGGGGCGACTACAAAAAGTCCTCCTTAACCGCAGTTTCACTCTCCAGGGTTTCAGTTACCCACAATCCACCCCTGTCAGGAAGAAGATGATCCTCTTTCTGACGAATCCTCAGAAGAACAGCAGTAGCCTAAGCCTCCATCAGCACACCTACCTCACTCACCGCACTTCATCTTACATAGACGGTTCAGCACTTCACATCATTACAAGTAGGGTGAGCTCAGGACAACAGGGTGCGGTGAAAGAAAGAGTGAGGCCACGTTCACAAAATTTTTATTACAGGGTATTGTTATAACTGATCTATTTTATTAAGAGTTGCCGTTCTTCATTTCTTACCTGCTGAATTTGGTTTTAATGTTTATGTATTTATTTTGAGAGAGAGCATGCATGCAAGTCAGGGAGGGCCAAAGAGAGGAGAGAGAGAATCCCAAGCTGAAAGCAAGCAGCCTGACCCGGGGCTCAATCCCACGAACCATAAGATCATGACCTGAGCTGAAGTTGGACACTTAACCGACTGAGCCCCCCAGGCGCCCCTGTTTGTTTAGATTTTAAAACATAGAGAATATGGGGTCGCCTGGGGGGCTCAGTTGGTTCGGCTGCCGACTTTGGCTCAGGTCATGATCTCATGGTCTGTGGGTTCGAGCCCCGCGGCGGGCTCTGTGCTGACAGCTCAGAGCTTGGAGCCTGCTTTGAATTCTGTGATTTCCTTTCTCTCTGCCCCTCCCTGACTCAAGCTCTGTCTCTCTCT